TAATAGAAGTACGAGTAGTAGTTAGTACTAGAAGAGAGAGACTATATATATATATATATATATATATATATATATATATATATATATACTGATATAACGTTTACGATATGCCTATATTCTCTCTATCGAGAGCACTTTATTGTACATACGTTTAACTTGTTCCGAATATGTATATTAATTATTATTTGAAAACAAGTAAAGTGTGTGTTGTTTTTATTGTTTATTCATCGTTGAATTTATCGCTAACAGTAACAAATCACAGACACCTACTGTAGAAGAATCCTAAACTCAACAACTACATATTATGTACTTATACTATTAAGGAGTACAAGTAAAAGCCATTTATTTCGACAACTGGCAAAATAAAAAACCAGAACCCGTATACGTATATAAGATTATTTTTTTAAATCTGACAAATAGAATAATATATACTAACTACAGCTACAAAACTAACATCATTTGTAGTCCAACAAAATGATATATACTAATTGCAACTACAAAACTAATATAATTTGTAGTCCAACATAATAATATATACTAAGTGAACTACAAAACTAATGCACCTTGTAGTCCAATGGAATAATGTATATGAACTTCAAATACAAAAACATTTATTTCCAAGGTTCAATTTATGAAAAAAATACAAATAATCTATGTTAACAGACTATAGTTTTATCTCAGTAAAACATATATATAATACATTAATAGACTATAGGTTTAGCTCACTAAAACATACAACTTAAAGTTTCTTTAAATGAACAAAAACCTTATGGTTTGTATCAACTTTAAATGTAAAAAATGTAATGAAAATTCTCTTAGGTTAAATAGCATATGTTAATACTTTCAGTATTAAAACCCTAACTTTTAATTTTTCTTTTCAAAATAGAACTTCTATATATCCTCAACAAATAACATAAGGGGTAGTGTATCAAGATATCTCATCAAATGTGTCTCAACAAATAATATAAGGGTAATGTATCAAGATATCAGATGTGTCTCAACAAGTAATATAAGGGTAATGTATCAAGATATATCGTCAGATGTGTCTCAACAAATAATGTAAGGGTAGTGTATCAAGATATCTCGTCAGATGTGTCTCAACGAATAATGTAAGGGTAGTGTATCAAGATATCTCATCAGATGTGTCTCAACAAATAATATAAGGGTAATGTATCAAGATATCTCATAAGACGTGTTTGTTTTTGAATTTAGTAATGAACAGAAATCCTGAGTACTATACTGTTTCCTTGGTAACTTACTACAGATACTGCAAGTTTTCTACCAATTGTCCTGCTTAGAGAACTGGAGATTTTTTTCTTGATTCGGCTGGATGTTCCGGTGATGCTCATGTCATCAAGAATGATGTGAGAATAAACTTCCAGTTGGAACTCAAAATTGGCAGATACTTGATTACTGAAAAAGAGTATCACTTCTATTTGAAACTGAAGAAAATTCCTCAAACATTTTTTAAGTTACTTTAAATATGGATTTTTAAACTAGTTTCAAAAATAAAAGAAACCCATCTTTTAAACTGTACTTCAATGTATGAGGTTCCTGCTTTATAAGAAGATTATATTGATATATTTGAGATTTTAAATAAAAAAATGTTAAGAAATATCAAAGCAATCAATGCTGTCAAAAAACCAAAAGTCAGTTTAGTATCATGCAAAAAAAAAGGAACATTATTTTAACCACATGTAAATAAATAAATTATTCATAAAATAGTATGTTCCCCCCCAAATAAAACTACTTCATTATGCTCATACAATATTGTCTGTGAATTTACTATTCTATTATTATAATGTGCTTCCACACATTGAAAAACTAGATAGCTGCTTTAATTGAATCAAACCATGTCTAAAATACAAACAGCAAAGTTGTGCCTCCCCTGTGGTGGGCACAGTGAAATGTAGCTTTAAGGTTAAAAACAAAGAGACAAAATTGTAAGTAAGTGCTAATGTAAAGTAAATTTAAACAAACCTTTAATGATGCTAGTCTTGTGCAAAAACAAATTTTAACTTTTTTATTTTTTAATGTTTTGTTTTAGTTATAAAAAATAAAGAAAACAACTTTTGAAAGTTGTTATTGAATTGTGCAACATAGCTGATGATTAGATGATGTCTTGATCCATTTAATTAAGAATTTTAATTTTTGTGGGAATTGTTGTATAATCCCCAGTCCACCAAATAGTTTATTCACAACTGTTCACTCTCTCTGTGATAACTACATCCTTAAACAACATTTTATATTTCAAGTAAGCACAAGCTACAAGTACTAACCTAACAAATAAGATAAAGTGCTGCTAAAAATATGCCTAATGTGGATTAAAGTAATTTATAGGAAGGACTAAAACCATAGTGGAGCAACTGAACAACTTACAAAATTTTTGCAATACATCATTCTGTAGCACTTGATACTTAACTATATAAATCAGAGGCCATGTAAAGAAAATGAATCTGTAAAGGAGCCTGTACATTTCTCACAAGTTTAAAATTAACAGTATCGTCCTCAGCTTTGCACCCATCCCTTTAAGAAAAATCAGTGTTAAATAAAAAAAAAAGAAATTGTAAAGAAAAGTCACATGCTTAAATATGTATGTAACATGATACAAATTGTTTATTTGAACTTTAATAGTACGCATGTTGTGTGTATGTGTGTACATATGTATATATATTTCATTTAATACAAAATAATTTACAACTTGAAAGGTATTGCCAATCTCCAGAATAATTTTTTTGACTTTAATTTTAGTTTCCTCTATATAAGAAAGTAACATGGTAAAATTTACATTAATACTTTGAAATATTTCATTTATAGGTATTAAAAAATATGACAACAAACTTCTGAATGAAAAGATTTATTACTGCCCAACATTTCAGGTTAATATTTCTAAATCTTGATATCAAAGATTTTTATCTAACACTTACACCTTACTCAGAAAGATCTTTTAGGACAAATGATGACATATTATGAATGAACAAAAGTAATTTTGTATATGTTGGTTAATATTTATTTTGTTTATTAGCAACAGTAAAATTAAATAGTAGTTTCTGGGCTGAATGGTGCTAATGTATCAGGATAAATAATACTATTTTCAAATATTTCTGTGGCTTTTTTTTTTTTCTGAAATAGTTGATGTTGTTTTTTTCCATTTGTTTCATTTCAAAATGTTATACCTCTTCAAAACATTTTGTAATGCATTATAATCAGTGGAATGAAAACATACTTACAAAATAATAACATCATCAAATGAAATGTCTGTCATATTCCGATCAACATTTTTTACCAATGCTGTATCAAAAATTTCTGTACCAATCTTCAAGAGGCAGAAAACTGCAAACCTTCTGTGATTTCCCTTGTTCTTGAAGTGATCTTTCCAAATAAGTGGAATCCTGATATCTACATAGATATAAAAGTAATTATGGATTATTTAGATGTAGCCATAACTTTAGAAATTATATATGCAGTAATAACAAGGAACCGTTTTGTCAAGGCTGTCCTTGCACAACCACACCAGAGAGAGAAAAAAAATATTGCTGAATTAATCACTTGACACTGAACTGAGAAAGAATCCCCTCAAAGTCGAAACTCAAATGTTGTTAAGCATGAGAAATATTAGAATACCTGAATGAAGGATTAAAGGTACTAGGAGTTTTTAGTGCTTAAAGTTTGTTTTTGACTAACAGGCATGAAGGACTTATTAAACTACATTATATGTGTATATATATATATATATATATATATATATATAACAAACACTAGTTAGTAAGTAAGTAAAAGTAGGTGGACGGAAACGAAAAAGGTAA